ATTAATTGAACTACAGAAGTTATGTAAATTTCAGCAGGTTTTCCACTAATATCCTTTTCCTGGCCCAGGATCCAATTCAGAATCTCAGGTTGCCTCCACTTGATATTTCTCCTTAACTGCTTCTAATCTGTGGAAATCCTTAAATATTTCTTTGTCTTTCATGACAAAGACTATCGATCAATTATTTTATAGAATATTCCTTAAATGGGTTTGCCTGATGTTTCCTCATGATTAAATTGAGGTTATTCTGTTTTGTCAACAACACAACAGCAGTAATGTGCCCTTCTCATATTAGAGCGTACATAACGTGGCTATATCTTATTAGAAGTGATACCAACACAGATCATGCAGTTAAGGTCGCATCTCCCAGATGATCCTTTAAATCAAATTTGTTCATTTCTGAATTAAAAGTACAACACTCTGAAAAAATGTTAATGGGTAATAATTTAAACAAAAATTTCCCCCCACATCTGTCCTTGAACCACTCAGTTGGTACTTCCATAATCACCTAAAAGGTAGCTACTTTTATTGTTGTTTGTGTACAACTTCAGTGTTTCTTTAAATAAATGCAAATAACTATGAATATATGTATAACCGTAGACTCCTTGTAGTCTCCACTTTCTATGCACCCTCTTCTGCATCCTTTTGTCACTGAACATACATTGGAGAACTTTTCATATCAATATTGAAGTGATTTTTTTCTTAAAAATTTTTAATATCATCCCATTATATTTATCCCACTCCTCTGGATAGGTACTTGTAGTATTTCCATTTTTTCCTATTACAATGGATGCTACAATAAAGAATTTTATAAATACATCAATTTGAAGACATGTGAATAGCGTCAATTCAACTCATAGCAGTTCTATGTTCAAGAGAACAAAACACTGCCTAGTTCTTCACCATCCTCACAATCGTTAGGTTTGAGCTCATCATTGTCGCCATTGTGTCAATCTAACCTCATAGAGGGTCTTCCTCTTTTTCCTTAACCCTACACTTTACCAAGTATACTGGGCTTCAACAAGGACTAGTCCTTCCTGATAACATGTCCTGAATACAAGAGATGCGTTTTCACTATCCTTGCTTCCGAGGAGAAACCCAGCTGTACTTATTCCTAAACAGATTTATTCATTCTTTTTTGGGGGGTGGGGGAAGAGGACCAAACCCAAACCCACTGCCATCTAGCCAATTCCAACTAATAGCAACCCTATATTTATAGAATATTCTACATATGTCACAAAAAACATAATTCAAAGGCTTCAGTTATTCTCCCATCTACCTTATTCAAAATCCAGCTTTCCATGCACATGTGGCAATTGACAATACCATAGCTTGGGCTGATACACCTTAGTCCTCAAAGTGGTATCTTTAAAGAGGCCTTGTGCAGCAGATTTCAACAATGCAGTAAATCATTAGGTTTATTGCATTCTGCTTCAATGAGCATTGATTGTGGCTACAAGTAAAATGAAACCTTCCACAGCTTCGATCTTTTCTCATTTTTCATGATGTTGTTTATTGGTCCAGCTGTGAGAAATTTGGTTTTCTTTAAACTGAGGAATAATCCATCCTGAGAGTGGTAGTCTTTGATTTTCAACAAGAAGCACTTCAAGTCATCTTAACTTTCAGCAACTAGGTTTGTATCATCCACATACCACAAAACGCTAATGAGTCCTCCACCAATTTTGAGGCCACATTCTTCTTCATGTGGTCCAGTTTATCAAATTATGCACTCAGCATGGAGATGGAATATGGAACGACACTGACACACACCATTACTGACTTTAAACCATGCAGTATCTATCCCCTTGTTCAGTTCAAATAACTGCCTGTTTGTCTATGTACAGGTTCCCAGCGAGCACAAGTTCTGGAATTTCCGTTCTTTGAATATGATTTATAGTGTGTTAGGATCCACACAGTCAGGTGCCTTTGCATAGTCAGTAAAATACAAGTAAACGTGTTTCTGATATTATCTGTTTCAAATCATGAACCATCTGATGTTAGCAATGATATCCCTCCTGCCACATCCTTTTCTGAATCTGGTTTGGGTTTCTGGAAACTCATCTGTCAATGTACAACTGCAACAATTTTTAACTTACATTGAGCAAAATTTATTTGACTGTAATAAGGAGCCCTAGTTTCACTGTGAGTTAGGATTGAGAAGTTAAATACCAGGGTGGCAGTTCAAACCTACCATCCCCTCTGTTAGAAAGAGCTGAGAGTGTTTACATTGATCAAGATTTAAAGTCTCAGAAGCCCTATATAGGGTCACCATGAGTCAGAATTGGCTTGATGGAAATGGAGTGATTGATATTAATGATATTTGATGATTTCCACATCTGTTCTATCACTTTTTGAAAAGAATGAGTACAAATATGGATCTCTTCCAGTTTGCTGGTCAGGTCGTTGTCTTTTAGATCTATTTTTGCATAGACAAGTGAGTGCCTCTTTGACTGCATCCGTTTGTTGAACTGTTTCCATTGATACACCATCAATTTCTGGAGCCTTCTTAATGAATGCCTTAAGTGTATTTTGGATTTCTTCTTTTGATACCATCAGTTCTTGTTCATATGCTACTTCCTGAAATTCTTGAACGTTGAGCAATTATTTAACGTTGAGCAATAAAAAATCCTGACCAGCAGTTCAAAACCACGAGCTGAATTGCAGAAGAGGAGGCTTTCTGTTCTTATACAGATTTACAGGCTCGGAAACCCACAGGGGAAGTGCTACCCTGTCCTGCAGGGTTGTTATGAGTCAGCATCAACTCTATGGCAGTGAATTTTTTGTTTGTTTGTTTTGACATAGTAAACCATAACCTTGTTTGAATGAAAATGGCTAGTACCAGTTCATTTGAGCTCACTGATACACAGGAAATTGATCTTTATGAATTCCATTCCATTTTTCATGACTTCCAATTTTCCTAGTTTCATACTTTGTACATTCCACAATCCATTTACTGATGGATGCTGTGGCTATTTCCTCTCATTTCGAGTAATAGAAAATCTGTCAAGGAAAATATATTACCAATATATGTCAATTGCCACAGATCTTATTATCCTAAGCCATTTTTTGACAGGCCAAAAGGGCATTCCAGTGTTGTTGTAGTCATTTCTCTAATGATCAGAGAAATTGTTCATTTTTTCTTATGCTTAAAAATGATTTTAGTTTCTTTGTTAATAGTTTTAATGATACATAATTCACATACTTACAATTAAATTATTTAAACATATTAAAATAATTTTGCAATCATCACCATAATCAATTTTAGAACAATTTCTTCTTGCTTGTACTCATTATTATTATTCATTCCCTATTTCCTCCCAACCTCCCCTCCCATGACCCTCCAAAACCAAACCACTGCCATCAACTCAATGCTGTCTCATAGAACTGCCCCTGTGGGTTTATGAGACTAAAGGACCCCGTCAAAGTGTTAAAAAGTGAATGTGTCACCTGAAGAACTAAGGTGTACCTGATCCATACCATGATTTTCAGTTTTCTTATAGAGGTGCCACTTTGAGTCAGCATTGAGTCAATGGCAGTGAGCTTGGTTTTTGGTTTATATACATGTAAAAATAGGACAATGAATAAGGAGGAATTGATGCCTTTGGTTTATGGTGTTGGGGAAGGATATTTCATATAGAAGAACAAACAAACCTGTACAGCCAGGATGCTTTTTATAAGCAAGGATTATGAGACCTAGTAGTTTGAGCATGCTATTAGTAGTACTTTGCGCATGCTATTAGTAGTGAGTGACCAGTCCCTGGAGAAGGGCAACTTGCTTGGGAAAAGGGGCCAGTAAAAAATAGGAAGACCCTTAATGAAATGGATTCACACAGTGGCTGAAAAATGGACTCAAATACTATGTATATAACATAAATCCTGAAAACTAATAATAATTATGAGGATGACTCAGATCCAGGCAATGTTTCATTCTGTTATACATAGGGCTACTCTGAATCCAAATAGACTGGACCAACAACTTAGTTCATTTATGAAAATTTTATTAACCTTTTATCTGAAGCCCACTATGAGTTTCAGTGTTTAACTGGACTTGATGCTATCAAAAAGTTATTATATCAGACATATGCATAGAATTATTCAGATGTTGAAAATTCAAAATATCAGTGTAGATATTATTCTTTTAAACTGTAGATATCACAACTGAGCATAGTCTATAACTTAATATACTATAACAAAAAGATGACTGCTATTTGCTCAATTCTGATGCATAATGACTGAGTAGCACTGTTCCTTTGAGTTTCTGAGACTGTAAATCTTAAAGGGAATAGACAAGTTCATCTTTCTTAGATGGAGCAGCTAGTGGATTTGAACTTCTTCCTTTTTGTTTAGCGGTCCAATGCTTGCATAAAAGTGCCACCATTGTTGCATGTGATTACTTTTGGTTTGATTTAAAATAAATCATTGCTTCTGCTTCCTATATTTGTGGTTTACTAGGAAAAAGAGGTTTCCAATCCCCTTTTATCTGCATTCAGAGTTCATTTTAAAGTACTGTATAGAGAATCAAGGAGATTCCCACAATTTTTTGTTTGCCTTTTCTTTTTATAGTGGAGGATTTATGCTACTAGGAAAAAATTTATTAGGTGAAAAAAGATTTTCAGTTAGCATAATTGAAAAATCACAGAATTCAAATCTTTATCCTCTTATCTTTTATTTTCTGTGCCTGTTTTTGTGACTTCCTTTTCCCTCCAAGGCTACCTTAGATATGTATTTCAGCTTCATTTTACCTGGAAACAAATGATGGGGAGGAGAGGTAGGAAGAATTCCCAGTGTAATTTGCCCCGGGTATGGTCTGTACTTGAATGATCCATAACCTTTCATCAAACATGCCACATTTCTATAATTCTATCTTCAGATAACAGGCAATGTTGTTGTCTCTGACTACTATAATCTCCCAATGTTCTTCCCCCCACCCCCCAAGGCATTTCTCTCTTTTGTGACTTCTGTAAACTTGAGTTATCTGTTAAATTAATTTCCGTGTTTACCTGGCCTTGATTATGTGGAGAAGGTCTCATGTCAGTGTCCAAAGCATACACAGAGTCATACTGAGGAACGTTCTTCTGCTCTCTGGTGCATATAGAAAAGAAAAAACATAGTTAGGAGGGAGTGTTTGCTTAACTGGCAATAAATAACTTCTATGAAACCCAATTTTAATAATACAGAATAAACACTGTCATTTAAAATATCTATTATAATAGTTACCAAAGAGAAAGCAATAATAATAATGACTAATTTTGGTGAATCTGTTCCATGTTCAAGGTACTTTACTTAACATTTCCCAGTTTCCCCCAACATTTCATTGTGAAAACTTTCAAATATACAATAAAATTGAAAGAAATTTACAGTGAATTCTGATATACTTAACATTTCAATTATATTTTAAACATTTTACCACATTGGTTTAACATCGGCCCATTTATCCATCTCACTATCCACTCCTTGACCTACTTTATTATTTTGATGCAAGCTAAATAAAATTGTAGACATTGGTATACTCCTAAAGCCATATTATATTATTTTGAATATTTACAAAAGGTCTACATGATAGATAGTATTAATTTCATTTTACAGATGAGAAATCTGAGGCTAAGAAATTTTAAGAAAATTCCCAAAGGCCACACAATGAGTGATTTATAGAACAAGGATTTGAGGCCCAAGCTGTCTGAATCTGTGTTCATACATTTTCCACTATATACTCTATATGTTGAAATGTACAATTCAGGGAATGGTATAGGAGAAAAAATCTCAAAGAAAACTATAATTTGTTTCAACTGGAGGAAACAATGTCATTTAATTCTTTACTCAATAGCCAATAAATAAACTCAAAATTTGAGAGCACTATTATTATGTAGTTTTCATTTTCATTTGTTTCTCACAACTACAGAAGAAGTGAGAAATGCATTATTACCACTTATAAAGGAGGAAACAGGAACCAATGTTCCACCCAAAGTCACAGCCAATTAATACAGATAAAGTATTAGAACATAAATTCAATGTTACATAAAAGTTTGGAAGATGGCAAACTGTGTGGAGAAAACCTATAGCGTGAGTTAATTTTTTTTAACATCTCAGGGGAGTTCTAACTTATGTCAAGTGGTAAAATGAAATTCACCACTTTAATTTCCATTTGCAAAATTAATGTTGAATAAAACTGATTTTATTCCCATAAATATGTATGCCATGTATTACTTTATTTTTTTTCTTTTTTAACATTTTATTAGGGGCTCATACAACTGTTATCCCAATCCATACACACATCAATTGTGTAAAGCGCATTTGTACATCGTTTCTTAAAACATTTTCTCTCCATTTAAACCCCGGACATTAGGTCCTCAATTTTCCCCTCCCTCCCCGCTCCCCCCTCCCGCATGAGCCCTTGGCCATGTATTACTTTAAAGAACATGGAGTGATACTTTTATTTTTAAAAATTAGAATTTTGAAAGAACACAAAAGTTAGAGAATTTATCTTCCTCTCCCAGAGAAAAATCAAAGACTATTCAAATTGCTGATTTTACTGCAACTTGCAAGCCTTCCAGGAATATGTGGTGCACATTACTAGCCACTTTCAATTTTAAAGTAATATTTCAAAATCATCCCCAAATGGCATAAAAGATTCATTGTTTTACCACTGTGGAATGGTACTTCAAAATAAATGCTAATTTTAATTAATTGCTATAAAATCGATGAGATTTTACTTAACTAGTATTTACTTCTCATACCTCCATCACTCAGAGGCAATTTTCTATTTAATAAACAAAAAATTAGAGGATGAAGCTTAACATTATCACATTCAATGTACTACTTTATCTCCTGAGATTTCATTAGTATTGTTTGAGGGTTAAGGGACTCACTGCTTGGGACAGACTAGCACTGTACCCTCCACTAAGTTACTTGTCTGAGTAAGATAGGGTTTGTTTTATAGTGGTTATCTTAAAAATCCACTACCATAGGTGTGAAACCTGTAGAATTCAACTTGACACACATAATAATCTTCAACAAGTGGCTGCTACTTTTTGTATCATTCTCAGCATCTCTATTAAGTGGGTAAAACAGATTATAACCATATTTATTTTATAAGGATATAAATTTAAACCCACTGACACAGATAAAGATTACAATAAAATATATTGGTTTATAGCTTTCATTTATCTGACATAGTTGCTCATTCACACTCACTTTCATCGAATCGATTGCTATTCATAGCAACCCTACAGGGCAGAATAGAACTATCCAGGTGGGTTTCAGAAGCTGTAAATCTTTTTTTGTTTTTGAATAAATCATTTAATTGGGGGCTCTTACAGCTCTTAGCAAAATCCATCCATTGTGTCAAGCACATTTGTACATTTGTTGCCATCATCATTTTCAAAATATTTTGTTTCTATTTGAGCCCTTGTTATCAGATCCCCATTTCTCCCCCTCCCCCACACTCCCTCCCTCATGAATCCTGGATCATTTATATATATTTTTTCCCCATGTCTTATACTGACCACGGTCTCCCTTCACCCACTTTGTTGTCCATCTCCCTAGGAAGGGGGTATATATAAATCATAGATCATTGTGATCAGTTCCCCTACTTTCCCCCCACCTTCCCCTTGCCCTCCTGGTATCACTACTCTCATTATTGGTCCTGAGAGGTTTATCTCTCCTGGATTCCCTGTGTTGCGAGTTCTTATCTGTACCAGTGTACATGCTCTGGTCTAGCCGGATTTTTAAGGTAGAATTGGGGTCATGATAGTGGGGGGAGGGGGGAGGAAGCATTAAAGAACTAGAGGAAAGTTGTATGTTTCATTGGTGCTGTACTGCACCCTGACTGGCTCGTCTCCTCCTCATGACCCTTCTTTAAGGGGATGTCCAATTGACAACAGATGGGCTTTGGGTCTTTACTTCATGCTCCCCCTCACTCTCATTGATATGATTTTTTGTTCTGGATCTTTGATGCCTGATAGCTGATCTCATCGACACCTCATGATCACACAGGCTGGTGTACTTCTTACATGTGGACTTTGTTGCTTTTCAGCTAGATGGCTGCTTGGTTTATCTTCAGACCTTAAGTGCCCAGATGCTGTTTCTTTTGATAGCCGGTAACCATCAGCTTTCTTCACCACATTTGCTTATGCACCCATTTTGTCTTCAGTGATTATGTCAGGAAGGTGAGCATCACAGAATGCCGGATTATTAGAACAAAGAGTTCTTGCATTGATGGAGTACTTGAGTGGAAGCCCAATGTCCACCTACTACCTTAATACTTAACATATTAGATCTATTTCCCTATCATTATATATAAATATATTTACATAGGTACATGCCTATGTTTAGACATCTATAAATGTCTTTTGCCTCCTAGATCTTTCCTCTATATCATTTTACTTTCCTCTTGTCCCACTGTCATGTTCTGCCTTCATTCAGGTTTTAGTAATTCCTATCAGTTACATTGCCCTTGATTAAGTCTCACCAGGCATCCTATGCCCTTCTTTCCATCGATTTTAGATCACTTATTATTTCCTTGTCCCTGGGTTGGTTGACACCCGCCTTCCTTTCTCCCACCTTCCTCTCTTCCATGTCCTCCCGGAACCATCGGTCCCATTGTATTCTCCTCCAAATTGTTTATCCCACCTATTTTATCTAGATAGACATGCAGAGACAATAATAAGCGCAAACACAAGACAAAGCCAAACAAAACAACAAAATAAGACAAAACAAAATAAAAACAGCAAAAAAGGAAAAGCGTGTAAATTGTTCCAGGTCTGTTTGTTGACCTTTAGTCAACACACAGCAACACTTTAGAGTGTTTTCCAGTCAAGTCTGATGGGGTGCCATGCGCTGGCCCCAAAGTGTATGCTTGGTATTCCTCTGGGACTTCACTCTTTTGCTCCCTTTGCTGCTCTGTTGCATGCCCTTAGTGTTTCACCCCAGTGTGATGGGGTCAGATTGGGCACAATTCCTGCACGGTGTCTCCAGTGTTTTTCCCCGTAGCTCTATGGATCAGTGAGGGACGTCGTGTCTCGTGGTGGGGCCAGCCTTCTGGTCTTCTCTGTGCACTGGCGGATCTGAGTAGGAATATCTTCCTCAGGACTTGGTGGACCAGGATGCGTTCCACTCTCACCTTCCCTCTTCTTTTGCTCCTGTGTGCTCTGATCAGAAGTGTCCCTCTCCCCGAGTGGTAGCCTCAATGCTGTCCTCTGAAGTCCATTCTTCTGGGGGGTGGGGTCCACATAGCTGGGATTGGGCTTGGCCCCAAGAAGCTGTAAATCTTTACAGAAGAAGAACCCCTCCTCTATTCCCTTGGAGCTGTTGGTAGGTCTGAACTACTGAACTTGTGGTTAGTAGCCCAGTATGTAAACAACTATGCCACCAGGTGTCCTTGGTAATAGTAGTAGGTATGGATAGAACAATCCCCCTTCCACTCATACACACTTTTAGAATAACGTATGTAGTAGAGAAAGGAGCTGTGCTGGTGAAGTGGAAAAATGATCTGCTGGTCATGGAAAGGTTGTCATTATGAATTTATTGACCACTGCACAGTAGAAGAGTTTGGCAATCTACTTCCATCATGATATCAGCCTTGGACCCTATGGTGCAATTCTAGCCCGTCTTTTAGGGTCATTATGATTTGGAGTGACTCTGTGGCATTGTTATTTTATGGTTTGGTTTTAATACATGGAGTACACACCAACACTTTCTTGATGGAAAGAAGACACAGAAGAAGGACAGTTATTTAGTAAAGTATATTTGACTTGCAGTGAGGATGATAGTTTTGCTCTATCCAAATGCTGAGCATTGTTAACCTGACTTTTGGTGGAATTTAATTAAAATGTTAATGAATATAAAAGAGAAAATATAAGTTATAGTTACGATGAACAATGAGAAACCCTGGTGGCATAGTGGTTATGTGTTGGGTTGCAACCCACAAGGTCTACAGTGTAAAAGCACCAGCCACTCCCATAAACAGTTATAATCTTGGAAACCCATAGGAGCAGTGCTATCCTGGTCTATAAGGACTGTGAGTCGGCATCGACTCAATGGCAGCGAGTTTACGATGAATGGCATAATTACTTGCGATAGCTCCCCTAATTTTTTGCAATATTTACAAATATCTTACCGGTGATCATCTACATTTTTTGTGGGTTTTTTCTTACAGTAATAGATGGTCTGCATTGTTACACCAACTATTAAAGCCAGTCCTATCCCAGGCAGTGCTGCTACTAAAATCAGGTCTTGAGTACTCCAGAGTTGGTCACATTTGGCTCCCATATACCAGTAATTTTGCCACCGACTTCTGAAATTTGGACATCTGGAGAGAAATAACAGGAATAGAAAAGGTTCACAAATTAGGATAAAAGTAAATTGGGTCTCTGAGTGAATCAAACATTACATTGTTACTCAACCGTGAAATTTCCCTCTAAAGCTCTCAAAAGATTTGTGTTGATTCCTTTTCCACTTGAGCAAACACTATAAAACCTACAGTTTGCAACCTACAGTTTGAAAACATTAAGTGAGCATGCAGACAGCTGTTAGAATTTTCAAACCATTATCTAATGAAGGTGTGGTACTTGGGGGGGGAGTCGAGATTCACCTGTTTCAAGGCTTCTTTTAAAATTATCCAGTTTTGTTCGTGGCTATTCTTTTTGCTACTGTTGTTCTATCAATGCTAGAACGCCAGTTCAAAACAACCTAGTCTACTAGTTCTGTAACTACAGTTTGGCCTTTCTCCCACTTCTTATTACAGTAATGAATGAAGGTTAACAGACTGCTTCCGCCACTCTAAAATAGATAACAAGAAGAAACATGAGGATTTGAGACTAGACTGTGCCAGAAATAGATTTGTTCCCATCTTTGCCTATAAGCCCAGATGTTCTTTTTATTTTATAAAAATAAGTGACTCCCATAAACTTTCAATGTTTTTTAAAGAAAACTCATGAGATTCTACCAAATAACCTGAATGGGGTAGAATGGGGATTCTACCAAATAACCTGAATCGTGTACAGATTGAAAATTGGATGATATACACCTACAGAGAAGTGTCTATGGACTTGTGGAAAGGAAGTAACTAATGGGGACATTTGTTCATGTAGTATCTTTAGAGAATGTTTTATTGTCCCCTACAGGATTGATTCAATGAATGTTAGATCCTAAGTATGGTATTCTTGGTTTATACTGTTTTAATATACTAAGGAATATATTCCTGGCTAACACTAAGGTATTAATGAGAAGATTACTAGAATTTTTATAGTTCTGGGATTCGCTAAGAAAATATATCTACTAAATTCACACAGGCAATAAGCCACTTGTGGCTTTTAATATGTACTCAAATGTTAGTAATACATAATAATAACTTACATGGCTTTTAATATGTGATACAATATCATTTATTTAATGAGGTAAAGCATATTTTTCAAATATATTTTATTCATCTTCATATATTTCTTACTGAAAAATACTTTTGTCAGAGTACGTTTCTTTTGAAGTTTAGAAGTAAATAACAAAGAAATCAAATATTATACAATACTATTTTATTAATTTATTCAACATCATTATTAAGGTAACTATGTTTCAGTGATACAATTCTTGCTTTTCATGTATTAGGACTTAGTTTGATTCCTAGTTTGTTATCAGAGGATTTCCTGTTGTTATGATGTTCAACAGGTTCCAGCAAAGCTTCCAGATTATGATGGACTAGGAAGAAAGAGCTGGCAAATATACTCCCCAAACTCAGTCAATTAAAACCCTATGGATCACCAAGGTCCAACTCTTTACATATCTTAGGGAAAGTAGAGAACCAGGAAGCATTTCATTCAATTGTGCACGGGTTGGCCAACAGTGACAGCTAACACAATAACCATATGCCAGATACTGTTCCAGGTATTTAAGGTACACCACTAAATAAAGCAAAGATCCATGTCCTAAATGAGCTTGCAATCTATCTGGGGAACTATACAATAAAAATAAATATGCATAGTAAATCATCTAGAATATTTGAGTGATAAGGGCTATGATAAAAATTAAAAGTAGAGCAGAGGAAGGGGTATTGACCATGTGGGAAGTAGGGTATGTGGTAGGTTTCAGTAAAACAATGAGCTGATTTAATTGAGAATGTAACATTTTAAACATCACCGATGGAAATGAGAGAGTTAGCCACAGAATAATTTAGAAGAATAACATTCCAAATAAAGGAAACAGCAACCATAAAGACACTAAAGCAAGGGAGTATGATTTCATGTTAGAGGAGCAATAAGGAGAAGCCAGTGTAAGGAAAGAATGGGAGAGAGTAAAGTTATGGGGGTAGAGAGGCTAGATCTCAGAAAATCTTATAACTCACTATAGGGACTTTTAATTTTTTACAGTGAGTGACATGAGACCTAGGACAAAGTTTTGCGAAGTAATAAGATCTCTGTTTTTTAAAAGATCAGGCTCTGTGGTATATTGAAAACAAGCTGTAGAAGGCAAGGGTAGAAAAAGAGGATTATGAAGTTGCTCAGTAATCTAGCAAGATGATATTTGCTTGAACCAAGATGGCTACAGTGCAAGAAATGGTTGGTTTCTGGATATCCTTTTGAGTTTATTGTGCCAACCTGGCTGATAAACACATGTGGGGTTAATTGAAGGGCAGAGGGATAAATGGCTCAGTAAGCCTCGCCTTTCTAGTTCTTGGATCTCTTGCTTTTGATGGTCGGACCAGGGTGCAGCTGCTTTAGCAGTTCCCAGCTTCAGTTTGCAAGACTGACTTCCTGCAAGACATCCCCAAGGAGAAGCCACATGGACCTAGTCTGATGCAGCCCTAGGTGCTGGAGCAGCTGTGTGGAGACCCCTGTCAGCACTGAGATGCCTACACATTCACTGACTCCGCTTTCCTCCTGCATTCAGCATCATTGTGTGTGCTTTGTGAGATGGAGGAGGACTTTGTGGATTGGTGTTGGACATATGGGTTAATGGGTTAATGTTGGACTTGTGGGCTCGGGCAGCATTGGGTTGGGATGTTTTCTTGATGCTCACTTAACCTTTATATAAAACTCTCTTTTATACATGAGTCTCTGTGGATTCGTTTCTCCAAAGTACCCAGACTAACACACCTTTTAAAGGCAAAACCAACAAGATTCAACTGAGTAGGGAGACTGATGGTAGAAAAGATTTAGAGTGATAGTGGTGGAAACTCTGGAGTTCATGTTTCTACATTGCTTATTTTGAGATGAGTAATAGATATTCAAGTGGTAATTCTGAGTAGATTTTTAGACTTATGAATCTAGAGTTATGAAATATACCAGCTTAGATGGCATTTGAAACTGTAAGAGTGTATGAGGTCGCTAATGTTGATGGCATAAAGGAGACAAAGGATGGAACCCAGGAACACTCCAAAATTAAGTACATGAGGTGAACCAATGAAACATGAATGTGAGAAGTGGTCTGTGAGACAGAAAGACAAAACAAGGATCAAGTGATTTCCTTAAAATCAAGTGAAAAATGCAAGGAAAATCAACTGTGGTTAAAGAGTTCTTGCTGTTATTAGGTATCTTTGAGTCAATTCTGATTCATAGTGACCCTACGTACAAGAGAACAAAACAATGGCCAGTCATGTGCAATCCTCACAATTGTTATGTTTGAGCCCACTGCGGTAGCTGCGGTGTCAATCCATATTGCTAAGGGTTTTCCTCGTTTTCAATGCCCTTTAACCAAGCATAATGTCTTTTAACGGGGACTAGTCTCTCCTGATAATACGTCAGAAGTACATGAGACAAAGTCTCCCATATTCACTCCCAAGGAGCTTTCTGGTGGTCCTTCTTCAAAGAGATTTGTTTGGTATTTTGGCAGCCCACAGTACTTTCAATATTCTTTGCCAGTACCATAGTTCAGAAGCATCATTTCTTTCTTGTTCTTTCTTATTCAATGTCCACTTTTCACACGCATATGAGATGAATGAAAGTACCCTGACTTTTGTCAGGCACACATTAGTCCTCAAGGTGACATCCTTGCTTTTCTTTTCTTGTTTTAAAAATCATTTTGTCGGGGGCTCGTACAACTCACATCACAATCCATATATCCAACCATTGTGTCAAGCACATTTGTACATTTGTGACCACCATCATCCTCAAAACATTTTCTACTTGAGCCCTTGATATCAACTCATTCCCCCCTTGCTCCCTTATGAGCCCTTGATAATTTATAAATTATTGTTTCTTTTCATGTTTTACACTGGCCACTGACTCCCTTCACCCACTTTTCTATTGTCCATCACCCTGGAAGACGGTTATATGTCAATCATTATGATCAGTTCCCCTTTTCTCCTCCCACCTTCCCATTCCCCTACTGGTATTGCTACTCTCATTATTGTTCCTGAGGGATTTATCTGTCCTAGATTCCCTGTGCTGCGAGCTCTTATCTGTACCCGTGTACTTGCTCTGGTCTAGCCGGATTTTTACGGTACAATTGGGGTCATGATATTCAGGGGGAGGAAGCATTAAAGAACTAGAGGAAAGTTGTATGTTTCATCAGTGCTATACTCCACCTTGACTACATCGCCTCTTCCTTGTAACCCTTCTTTAAGGGGATGTCCAATTGTCTACACATGGGCTTTGTGTCTCTATTCTGCCCTCCTCTTCTTTCACATCGATATGATTTTTAGTTCTGGGTCTTTGATGCCTGATACCTGATCCCATTGACACCTCAAGATCACACAGGCTGGTGTGCTTCTTCCATGTGGGTTTTGTTGCTTCTCAGCTAGATGGCAGCGTGTTTATCTTCAAGCCTTTAAAGCCCCAGATGCTATCTCTTTTGATAGCTGTGCACCATCAGCTTTCTCCCCCATATTTACTTATGCACCCATTTTGTCTTCAGTAATTGTGTCGGGAAGGTGAGCATCACAGACTGCCAGGTTATTAAAACAAAGTGTTCTTGCATTGAGTGAGTACTTGAGTCGAGGACCAATGTCTATCTGCTACCTTAATACTTAACATATAAATATATGTACACAGATCTATTTCCCTATCATTATATAAAAATATATTTACATATGTACATGGCTGCATTTAGATCTCTATAAATGTCCTTTGCCTCCTAGTTCTTTTTTTCCCTCCTAGTTCTTTCCTCTATTTCTCAAAGTCATATTTTCAAACTATTCTTCCATCTTCTTTGCTTCAACTTTTGGATCCCAATCTTCATTCAGTATGTATTCATTTATATTGATTTGATACTTGATGAATTTCAGTTCGAAGAAATTGGTAGAATTCTTCAATTTATGAATAACGACCTGAGTGATTAGTGAATACATTTGAGTAATAATGATGATAACTATTGATATCA